GGAGCCCACAGAAGTGAGCAGTGGGCAGTGATACTTTTCCAAATGCTAACTTACACCTCACTGAGATATTTATTTTACATAAACGACGAGTACAGTTCATTTTGTTTAAATACTCAGAGTTTTTTCCAGACCACTCAAGTGCACTAGAGACGAAGTGAATTAAGGTTTCTTTGTTTTTCACGTGGCCATTCTGTTCAAGTCAAAGGAACAGACCAACAATAGCACAGCCTGCATCGTGCCTGTTACTAATATGATCGCCAATTAATCCTGACGTTGCAGCTTGGCAGCTTTTCCAAAACCCTGTGTTTTGTCACCTCAGGGGGTTAGCACTTAGACATTTCTATGACATTTTATACTAATCAATCAACTTTCCTTTTTTAAAGCAGAACCCATTCATAGGAACTGCAGATGACTCCGTGTACACCACACCCACATCCACTCTTTCCCCCAGACCTAATCGCGTTGGGTTTGTTGATAATTACCCTTCCTAGCTGACTCCTGAAAGTGTTTATTCTTATTTCTTCCTTTCCAAAAGGGAAATCTCTCTCAAATGTTAAGAGAGAAAGGCAAGTCCCCAAGTGTTTTCTCAGATTATTGTACATTTTAAAATATTACAAGAGGGCGCCTCTCAAGGGAAGTGAACTTTCGAGCTGCCAGCGCCGAGTTGACTTTCTCCAAATCTGTTACCAATGGATCCCAAGCTGGTTTAAGTCAGTTCTATTCTGAGTAATGACACACGCGGCTGGCACAAACGCCATTTCTAAGATATTTCTAGGACCCCCGGCAAATGGTAATTCATCTGGAGACAGCCAGGCAGACAAGGCAAGGACAAATGGGGAGAATGACTCTCTTGTGGATTTGATGCAGGGATAAGAGTCCTAAATCAGTGTGAGAACCACGTTCTCTCAGAAAGGCCTCCACTCATCATTCCTTCAAGCCCCCTCCCTGTCCTCTGACCTCCAATTATTCCTCCAACCATTCGTAATACAGGTCATTCTAAAAATATTGCCATGGTGGCAGAATATGTCATATATCATACTGCTAACCAAAAGTTTGGCAGCTCAAATCCACCAGCTGCTCCATAAGAGAGAAATGGAAAGGCACCTTCAGTCAAGAGTCATAATCCTGGAAACCTGACAGAGGGCCTCTTACGAGTTGGAACAGAACAGGAGGCTGCGGGTTTGATTTGCTCTTGTGAAGATCACCAGTTTTCAAAAAGTTCTAGTGTCAAAATTCCAGGCCTTCCCTTCCTTATTCCTGGATTCTTGGAACCGAAACATGAAGGAACCTAGAGCACTGACCCTCAGGAAGAACTAGGATATTTACCCTTCTCCACACAAAGTGTCTCCTTTTCTTTTTGATTATTTCCTTCTGCCCATCTCGATCTCGGAGAAGATGACCAGTTTATTCAAGGATCCTGGGACAATGCAAAAGCACACTGAACTTGGATACAGGGTCTCACTGGAAATTTACGGTGTGAGGAGCTTCTGCAGTCAGACTCTCCCTGCTTCGGTTGCCTCATATGGAAAAGGGAAGGCTGCCCTCCCTATCTGACTCACGAGGCCACTGTGAGGAGTGAAACATTGTCTTGAAAACTCTAATGAACTACACGCCAGTGAACACTAACTCACACAGACGTCCCTCAGTCCATCCCCTCAACATGCCACTTCTAAGTAAGGCCCATCGCCACACCCATCTCCTATGCAGAAACCAAGTGGACAAGCACCTTGGTGAGAGGAAGGGCAGATGGTGTTCTTAAAGGGGCACGTGGTAGCATGCAGTCTGTCAAACACATGACGGGCTCACCCATTTAACGCTCTCGACTTCAGTAGTTAGACCATGCTGGAACTTGATAGAGGAGGAAAGAGAGACCTGGAGAAGTTAGCACACCTACCCAGGTCACAAAGCGAGTAAGGCTGGAGCTAGGGTGTCACTTGGGCCTGGTTACAAGTCCAGGGTCTCAAACCAACCTTAGTTATGCAAAAGCCACTCAAGATGCTGGTCATCTTAGAGGTAAAAGCATGTTTGTTCTAGGAGTTCCCTGGGCGCAGAGTGCTGCTTAGCTCCCCAGTTCATGGATGGGGTGTGTGTTAGACAGGACGCTGCTGCCTTGTTTCCCGAGACAGCCCCCTACACTTTTCACTCTGTCCACAAGTGCAAAGGCAGCGCTCAGATAAACACCACGCTGAGTCTGTCTTTTGTCCCTCTGCTTACGAAGGAGAGTCCCTCGTTAGCATAGGGAAAGAGAAGATGCCGTTTCTGGGGAACAGAGCTCATGTGTTCCCGGACGTTGCCCAGGCAACTCCATGGTACCCAGATGGCAGGAAAGTTATCGGTGACCTGTGTGGCCAAGCCCCACGCGCTGCCCCACAGGGAGCCAGAGTTGGGCCCTGCGATCTGGCCAAGGGGACGTGCCCGCACTGGCCGGAGGACTTCTCGGCTGTTCGTGGAAGAAAACCAATTCCGTGGTGTTTGCACTGACGGCCATGCCTCCTGTGTCACCTCTTAACGACGTGTGACCTCCCCAAAATGCAAGCAAGCCACAACTCGCCCGCTCTATTTAAATTCACAGAGGACAGAATTTAGTTCTGAAAGCCCAACTCTACCAAGTTTCTAAAGCACAGAGGGGCCAGGGAAGCTGACCGAATGTCCTCTCTGCAGCTGGACACTGGGTGCTGAAGCACACGCAGAGAGGCTGGTCATGCCCAGCAATGCTCCCTTTATTGACCCGTTGTTGTGTGTCCTTGAGTTGGAACTGACCCACCGCTGACCCTCCAGAGGGTTTTCAGAGGCAGTAAATCAAACAGGAGGAGATTGCCCATCCTTCTCCCGCAGAACAGCTGGTGGATTCGAACTGCGTGCCTTTGGGATTGCAAGTGAAGCTTTTTACCATTATGCCATCAGCTCTATAGGAACCAACAAAACACCCCCACTAACTGCCACCAAGACACCATTGTCACCTTACAGGCTCCTGTCCCTCAGCCAGCACTCGTCTTTACCGGCCCTAGAACACGAGTGGATCCGAAGGGAAAAGAAGGCCCACTGGACAGGAAGCAAGGTACTGAAAGTGACCAGAGACACTGTGGGTGCCATGGTGACCCAAGATCCTCTAATTGGCTGGGAGCCTTTGCCCAAGTCACAGCCTTCTCTGACCTTGGAGGTCTGCAGTTAGATAGGGCAGCTGGAGGCCACAGACTTCCCTTAGCCTTTGACCAGTTCCAGGGTGCTCTGTGCAGTGCTGTGGACATGACGCAGGATGTAGGAAGTGCTACTGAGCTATGAAGACTATCCGGTTGTCCTCAGGGTCGGTTGGTTTTCTACCTGACTTCTCCTTCATGTGGGTGTGAGTGTCTGTGTGTCTGTACATGCGTGCGTGCCCCTGTGTGTACATATGTGTGTGCAGCTATGTGATGAAGCCAGGGTTGGAGACTCTCCAGTACAAAGGATGAACACAGCTCAGAAAGATGGCACATAGGCTATCTAAGAAGAAGGCAGAAGATGTTGAGGATGAGAAGATACCAAGCTCATCTAAAGAAGAGGAGAAACTGCCGCCACACTTTTCTCGGGGATTAAGTGAGTTGTTGGTCAAGATGGCATCTGGCAAAATCTGGAGAGCAACCTTGTGAGGCTGGTCCATGAGGAAGGGAGGGTAGAAGAGAGGAAAGGAGGGAGGGTGCGCTCAGACACAGCGCAAAGAGACAGCACAGCTAGCACTGGGCCCACACAGACGTCCGCTTCCCTATCACAGCAGAAACATGCTCTGGGATCCCCAGCCCAGCTCGGCAGCTCACCCAGCCTGCAGCCTCAAGCAAACCCAGTACCTCTCTGAGTCCCGCCCCCTGCTCCTTTCCACAAATGGAAGCACAAGCCTGACAATTCTGTAATAATGGCTCCTGTCTCAACGCTGTCAGGAGGGTAACTTCCAAAGATGTAAAGTGTGTGGGAACGCCTTTGTGATTATACAAACACAGAATGTCTTGCCAAACAGCTGAAAACTCATTACAGTGGGGGGAGAAAAATTACCCAAAAGGTGAGCACTCAGCTTTGACTGAAGCCAGGAAGTCACCACTGCGGTGCTGCTGGGCCCTGAGAGAATTGACGGAAGCTCAAAGAAGTCTCCAGGTCATCCTCCCTGGGACACGATGCGTGAGGAGGGATCTGCAGGCTCCTCACTGTGCTGTGGGTGGACTCAAATGCCCAGGCTTCTCCTTCCCGATGAACGAATCCACGCAGGACTCCCCAGTTGGACGGATACTCCCCTAGTAATGCTGACTCGGTTTACCTTTCAAAGACTGGCTGCTGCGTCAACGGCAACGCACTGTGACCCCATGTGTGTGAGGGCAGGCCTGGGTTCCACAGGATTTTCAGCAGGCAATTCTTTAGAAATCGATCACCAGGCTTTCTTCCCAGGTGTCTCTGGGTGGACTTCTGGTTGAGCATAATTTTTTTTAATTCAACAAATATTTATTGAAGATATTAACATTAAAGGGGGTGACTGTTCTAGGTGCTTGATGTTGAGCATATTTTTCATCACCAGGGACTCGTCTACCTTTAGACATAGTCACATATGCTTCTTCAATATGTTTAAGTGACAGTGCTATCAACAATGACCAACCCGTGAGCTTCTTCCTTTTCATGTCTCTCCTTTGTTGGAAACAGAGAACAAATGGAATAAAGGAACAGCTAACCCAACCCTTCCATTCATCCACGGATCATAAGGACTCATCTAACAGCCCCACAATGTGACAGATGAAGAAACCAAGGCCAGAAGGGACGTGTGACTTAACCAAAACAACTGCTTCAAAATGCTAGAATCAGTTCCAAATTCTTCCACCTTTTCCCCCACCGTCTAGACCTTTAGATTCCCATGTTCACGTTCAAAATGCACTTTCACACTCGAATCTGAGCAATGCTTACGCTCTCACTGTAAAAGGAGATCGACTGGGTGCCCGGGTCCCCCTCGAAGGCTGCTCCACACGGAGCATGGGCCCAGAGCTCACCTGTAAATTTGCACATGGTGGTAGCATGTGAGTGGGGATTTCATTCTCTGACCCCGCGGGCCCCAGAAGCTTGTTCTTGACCCGGAAGGCCGTGGTGGTGGTGGCAGTGGTGGTCTGCACTGGGAGGGCTGGCTGCCACACAGTCACATCGGAGCCGTTGCCAAAGGCTTGGATTGCATTTTCTGCAGTAAAACAGGAGGAGATCCAATTTCAAAGTCAAGTAGCAAATGGAACAGACCGGGTATACACAGCCAGAGAGGCACACTAGAAATTCTGATTACAGCGCCGGACTTCTCTGAACAAAGCCCATCCACGCATCCACCCACTCTGCCATCCTCCACTTGCCAAGAACCAGCCATTGGGTCAGATGCTCAAAATCCATTCATTTGTTAACCACTGAGCTGGGGACTCGGCTCTGATTCAAATGCAGTCGGTATCTCTTGCGTTGTATTTATGTACCAGGAATAGAACGAACCCCTGAAATCCTCATCAGGGAAGCGCTTTGAAGCTCAGCCTCAGCCCTGTTCCATGGGATCTTGATCATTAGCCCATCTTCCGAGAATATCCTTGCGTTCTGTCAAAACTATATTAAAAGCAAACTAATTACTGTTTTCTTTTAAAGTACAACATCTCTAATTATGAGGCTGAGATGATTCCGTAGCCATTACCCTCTAATTTTGCAGGCAGAGAGAAAAAACAGCCAAAAATATTAACTGCTATAATATGGCACCTACTGTATGCCGAAGGGGCCCAGGTGGCATAGATTAAAAGCATTCAGCTGCCAACTAAGAGGTTGATGGTTTGAACCCACCAAGTGATGCGTAGGAGAGAATAAGGCATTCGGAGTCTGTGAAAATTTACAGCCTTGGAAACCACATAGGACTGGTCTGCTCAGTTCTACAGAGTTGCTACGAGTTGGAATTGACTTAAAGGGAGTGAGTTTCTGTCGAGGAGCCCCGGTGGCTTAATGGTTAAGGCCCTGGCTGTTAACTGGTTAGGTCGGTGGTTCAAACTCATCAGCTCCTCCATGGGAGACAGCTGTGGCAGTCTCTTCCCTAATGTTTAAAGCCTTAGAAACTGTATGATGTAGCTCCATTCTATGCTGTAGGGTGACCACGAGGTGGAATCAACTCAAACAGCAATGTGTGCAGCATTGCTCAAAGCATGAATGTCACTATTTGTTTTAAAAGGATTGACCCCAAATCTCATCAATATCTGGTACAGGTTTGAGCAAGATTTTTTTTTTTTTTTTGCTTATTTTAGCTCCAAGACTTCCAAACAAAAAATCTGCATAATTAGGTAGGAGCAGGCCTGCAAACATGAAAAGTTTAAAAAATGTAAAACTTTAAAAGCTTATTACAATTTCATGGGATTAGATTGTTTTTGTGGTTAAGAGTAAATTGGTTGTGTGTTGTTCCCTTCCCCCAATGAATAAAAAACAGTTTTTAATCAGGTCTCCAGGGATTTGGCCTGGATTTAGGATTTTTTTTTTTTTTTATTTTGTATTCATTGTATAAGAAATCAAGCTCCTCCGTTTGGGACCTGAATGTGCAAATTGTTAATGTATGACTCTGAGCTGGCATTTTTCGATATACAAAAACAGAATAATTTAAGCCAAATCTTCCTCTTAGAAGTGACATTTTGTTCTAAAATTGTTATCCCTTAAATTCTAGCAAATTGGAAGCTTAGGTTTTTTTTTTTAAGAAAAAGAAATCTTTTCTCTGTGTTTTTTTCTAAGGCTGTAAGAACAGCTCCAATTAATAGAAATGCTTTTTATGCCCCTAGCCATGTTACATGGCTTAATGGGTGGATGGGATGCAGACAGCGGGAGCAAAGACAAGCTTCCTTAAGTGAACCCTGAACTAAAAAACCAGGGGGAAAAACCCCAAATCACCCTTTTTCCTTGTTATGACATGTAGATTTAAGAGTCGATTAGCATTGGTGGAAACTCTCTGAGATTTCCTGTTGTGTCTGCTTTGCAGCTTTGGGAGATCATTTCTTCACCTGTTCATTCATTCATTCAAGTATCAGTAGACATCTAGTAGGTCCTACTAATTGTGCTCCAACCCAAAGGTGGGTGGTTTCAATCCACTGGTGCCTCAGTGGGGGGAAATGAGCAGTCTCCTTCAGTTGATTTACAGCCTCTGAAAACCCAGTGGGGGGTAAGCTACATGGAGGGTTCCGGCTTCAAAGCACACACACCAACAGCCACTGCTTTATGCGCTGAATGACCACTGCAATTACAAAAGGCTGAAAGCCTCTCTTCGAGTGCCTAGTTTGGCTGGCTCAAGCAGACAATGCATGGTTGTTCTTAGGCGCCCTCCAGGGAATTCTGACTCATAACGACTCCATGTGAATGAACAGAGCTGCCACATAAGGTTTTAAGCTGGAGTCTTTGTGAATAAGAACCCTGGTGGAGTAGTGCATAGCGTGCCAGGTTGCTAACCCAATGGGTGGCATCTGATTCCCCCAGTCACTCCAGAGAATAAAGACAGGCAGTCTGCTACCTTGCAGATTTACAGCCTCAGAAAGCTAATGGAGGGTTGCCACGACCAGGTGCAACTCAACTGCAGGGGTTCATGGTTAAATCAACCATTTTTTATGGGAGAAGCCAGCCAGATCCTCATTCCCATGGAGTTGCTGGATTGATTCGAACACCAATCTTTCCATTAGCAACTAAACGCATAACCAATGAGCCACCAGGTTTCCTTAAGCAATGCATCTGGTGGAGATAAGTGCGTTGGGAAAGCAGAAGTGGAGAGAGGGAGAGCAAGGCGAGTAAGGAGAAGAATTTAGATCAAGTGGTCAGGGGAGGCCTCCTGATGAAGGTGATGCTTGAACAGACCTGACGGCTGCAGCTGACATCTCACTTCCGCCTCCAATTCATTCCCCTGCCTCCCTTTTGATGCAACATGCACTTGACTTTAAAAAACAACAAAAACAAACAAACAAACAAAAAAACCAACCCAACTCACTGTTTCTTTCCCAATAACCCAAAGTAAAAACAATTGGTTGAGTTCCTGTTGATGATCGGGGAATCTGGGAGAGTCTGGCTTTATCTGAAGGGAGTGAAAATCGAATTACTGCATTCGGGTTGGAGTCTAAAAATTTCAATTTCTCCGACCTTGGGGCCTTTTCTGAGAGGCTGAATTTATCGCCCTGTGTCTTGGTAAGCTGTGCCCCTTCTAATGAGGGGATAAATGGCGTGACTGTGAAAAAGTCTAGCTGGCTTCGGCCCCTGCTGCCAACCAAATGCATTTAGTTTTATTGAAAAGTCATTAGCAATAAGATACCAGACTACTCTCCCCTTCACCGAAACGTTATTAAGCAGGAACAACTTTCTCTGTGAGGGAGAGATTCACCAGCCAGCCTGCCTGAGTTTCATCTTTTCTCACATTGACCTCAATTGTCAATGGTTTATCTCCAATAAGACTGGTATTCTGCCAGTGTTTGTGAAGAGGAGGGGTGGTATATAAACTCCTACGCCCTCAGTTAAACCCGGAGCATCAAAACTTGACAGGGCTGCCTGCTTTTCCCAGGGCTCCCAGGCTGGGGGTCTCTGCGAGGTCCAATCTCACTACTTCTCTATCTTCTTTATCATTGTTGTTGTTGAGTAGTTGAGCCAGAAACGACTCATAGCTGATCCCCTTGTGGGTTCTCAGAGACAGTAAATCACACAGGAGGAGACTGCTTAACTTTGTTCTTCTGGTGGATTCAAACCACGTACCTTTGGGCTGGTAGCACAATTCCTTACTACTAAGCTGTGGCAGAGTGGTAGAGAACTGCACTGCAATTCTGAAGGCACATGGCTCAAATCCTCCAGCGGCTCCATGTGAGAAAGAAGGGACATCTCCTCTAGGGCAATTCAACTGCCTCTGAAAACCTGCTGGAGGGTCAGCTATGTCAGCTCCAACTCGATGGTACACAACAAACACAACAAGAGCTTCCTATCATCTCTACTAGTTGATAACATTTGAATTTTCCCTCTCTGACAGGTTTTTATTTTATGCATATTCTGGTCTTCTCTGTGGTTTTTTGTTGTTGTTGTTGTTTTTTGGTTTGTTTGTTTTTTTCAGTTTTTCAGAGGCTGTAAATCACACTGAAGGAGACTGCTCATTTCCCCCCACTGAGGCACCAGTGGATTCAAACCACCCACCTTTGGGTTGGAGCACAATTAGTAGGACCTACTAGAGGTCTACTGATACTTGAATGAATGAATGAACAGGTGAAGAAATGATCTCCCAAAGTTGCAAAGCAGACACAACAGGAAATCTCTGAGAGTTTCCACCAATGCTAATAATAATTTGCCTATATTTATATTCACGGGCAGTCTTCAGATTATGAATATCAGCTTTAGGGACCACTCCAATTTTCCCTTTGACATTATGTAAACGTGTCCTCACTTTGAACCAATTGAAGGGTTCAGAGCTGTTGTACGTAGGGTTACTATGCATCGGAGCTGACTTGACAGCACATTACAACAACAATAATATACCATATCCTTCATCACAATCCCTTTACTTGCTGTGTACGCAGCTTTTCAATAACTGAAAAGGCTTCTAGCTATCAGCTGCACTAACTCATCTCATTGCTGTCAAAAGGAAACCGACTCACAGCCAACCCTCTGCCGGGCTTCTCCGGATGTAAACGGCACAGAGAGAGATTGCACATTTTTCTCCTGAGGAGCTGCTGGTGGGTCCAGAGTGGAAGGGAGTCATGGCCTTTGAGTGAGTGGTGGAACTCTATACAGCCTTCGCTACCAGAGCTCACAAAGTCAGGTTTAATATTAAGAACCCTATGCACTGGGTCTGCTCTACCTGCCAATTCTTTAAGATACAGTAAAAGTGGATCTCACTGATACCCAGACTGCCTGTATTTAAATCAAGAGCAAACAAGAGGTTTAAGGTATAATGTCTCAGAATACCCCAACGTCCTGGTGAATGCCTTCATACTTGAGACTAGTTTTGTAGATTTGACCTTCACAGTTAAATATACAATTGTTGCTGTGTCCGTCAGGTTGGTACCACTTCATAGCTGGTTTTCAGAGGCTATAAATCACATGGGAGGAGACGGCTCACCTTTCTTCTGCAGAGTGGTGGATGGATTTGAAGTGCAAATGCTTGGGTTGGCAGCTCAGCTCCTTACCCACTAGGCCACAAGAGGTTCCTCCACAGACCATAGCTTATTTTATTTTAAGATGGCAAAAACAATGGGTTATAGTCACATTCCTTGAAGCACCTAGTGAGCAAATGCCTTAGATTCTTTGCAACAAAGGACATGCTGAAGAAGACTTGGAACAATTAAATGCTTTGGTAGCTTGTTAATGAATTCTTTAAAAATGAACCGTGTTACAGAAGAGCACTGTGGACGAACAATCTCAGGGGACATGCTTTCAAAGAGGAGGCTGAGTCTCTAACGTGAGAAACTGAGTCTTCCCCCTCCCACTAGGACTCCTCGCTGGTCCGATGCTCAGCTGTATGCTCTTGCTCCACGTGCCCTTCAGTGTCAGACATGGAACAGCGGCCTGCGGCAAGAGCAGGACTCAGGCTTCGGGGTCTACCTCTGGCATGTACGCTCTTTGGGAACCCCAAGTGAGCCGTTCACTCAGTTGCAGAGTGAGGGAGGGCCTACTGACATATCCTGGGATTCCTGTGAAGATCCCAGGACGTGAGCGATGTAAATATCCCTATGGAGTGAGTTTGAGCGCAAAGAAGTTACCCAATAATAATGGGGACAGAGTGTGAGTGCAGACACAGAAACAGCTCAGCTGGTTTGTCACCTAGAACATACCATCCTGATGCCTATGAGGGAGATCTGACAAGGGCCATATATTTCCCTCAATCTTGGCCCCTTTGGGAAAGATGCTTCCAAATTGCCTAACTCTGCAATCATAATAAATGCCGCTTCCAAGCCCTTCAGTGTTTGCTCATCACATCTCCCAAGATGCTCAGCACTCTGAGCCTACTGGTTTATCCCCCTCCAGAATCGCTGCTAAACGAGGCAGCCCTGAACATCCAAGGGCTATTGATGTTAACATCCTCATTTTTCTCAGCGTCCTTGGAGGCCTAGCCCCATCTAATTTGCCTGAGCTTCTCACATTGCATATTCCTCCCAGGTTTTAAGAACCTCTGGAACAGATGCTCCTCTGGCTGCCAAGGGTACAATTTTATCCGTGGGTAGAAGTTCTTTCCCACCTCATGTGCCCTCAGTCATCTGCATCTCCTGTTCTCTCCAATCTTGGCAGCACCCAGCTTAACACTTGCACTATTCCCTGGTGCGTTAACCAGTGTGGCCAAAAAAGGGGCTGGCATCCTCATTTGTGCTCTGGCAGAAGATGGATATAAAGACACCAACAGAGTCAATGCCACAAGAAACAAGCCATTTCAACTTACATCTGAAGAAAAAGATATTTTTTAAAAGCAGGAGAAATACGGGAAATCTTCCGTGCAATTTAGTTTTAGAAATACAATGAAGGATCAGCTATCAGTTGTTTCCGACTCAACAGCAATAACTGAGTGAGTGATTAAAAAAATAATAGAAGAAAACCTACGAAGGCATTAAGAGAGAAAGAAGGATGGGTATTCTCCTGAAAAGCCTCTCTTGAGGGTCACATGGGTCATTCCTATTCAGTGGTACACAACAACAATAAGGAAAGAAAGGACGAAGAAGAAAAGTCTAGAATAATAAGAGGAAATGGAATGGGTGGCTAAGTGACTCCTGAAACAACTGTCATGAGAACTTTGCCAAGAGTCCAGAACTGGATCATGCCAGAATTAACAACTATTACTGAACATCTTGGTCAAAATTTCTATAGAAGAATCCTGATCAAAAGGAAGAAAGTGCAGAACAAATTCCAAACACTCATGGAATCTAGATTTTTCTGGCTCCATTAAGGTTGTATGAAACCTCCGAAATGACTCCTCAGAGATAATCTTAAACCTTAAACCAAAAGGATACCCTGAAGTCCTCTTAGAATCAAGCAAGAGTTTAGCTTAATTAGTAGAATGTCTACCTTGAGCATTTTGCTCTTTTGAAAATTCTCTGTATGACATCAAAGAAGTCCCAGTGATGTAGTGTTTTACATGTTGGACAGCTAACCAAAAAGTGGGTGGTTCAAATACACCAGCTGATTCCCTGGAGAAATATGAGGCAATTTCCTCCCATAAAGACTTAGGGCTTCAGGAACCTGATGGAGGGTCTCCAGGAGTTAGAACTGACTCATCAGTAGTTGGTCTGCACTCTTTGCTAAGTGAGCTCAAGTTGACAGTATCAGTGTGAAAGGTTAAATAGAAAACTTAAGAGGGAACTAAGGTTCTGTTAATGGGAGAAGAAGAGTTTGGAAAAGGTGAGAATGCTCGAACAACTGGAAGCACGTAATCAAGGGGACTGGACATTTAGCAAGTGTTGAATTGGCATATATTCACACGGTCAACGAGGACTACCAAAGTAAGAGCAAGTATTGAAAAGAAACGAGACAAAGACTCACTAAGACATGTATTATCCTTGAAGAAATTCAGAAACTTCAGGCACTCTTCAAAGTCGTTCCCACTGTTGCTGCAGTCACACCATGGGGCCACGCTGAGGCTGCTGGAGTCAATGTAGTTGGGGGTCATGACAGTGCCTGAAAGAGTAAGCACAAAGCGGTTCCTCTCATGGGGTGACAGGGGACTTTCTGTAACCTAGAAAGACACAAATGCTCCTCTGACGCCGGATGCACCACGGATAATTAGAAACACTGTGTTTGCTGAGTGGGAAATTATGTTAAGCAGTGCATTTTCCCGACAATTTATCTTCAGCGTATAAAATAATTTACACATTTACTTTAAAAATTACAACAGAACTCCATGAGCGGCACTTAGTGCATTTTTCTCCCCCCTGCACGAGCGGGATAGATGACATGAAGTAGGCGAGAATTAACTTAGAATGCACGAGTTGCCAAATCCCTTGCATTTTCTTGAAAATGCCATTAATCTTCATAAATAGATAAGAACCGGGTTTCCATTTCTTAACAATCCTTTTAGGCACTGAGTCTACTTCCTGCAGAAGCAAATGGCTTTCTCAGGGTAACTCAGGGAAGCTGGGATGTTTTCCTTCTGCGTTATCCCACATCCTGAATATATATATATATGTATATATATACACACATATATATATAAAACACCAGGATGGTCCTGCCCACCACTCTCTCAGCTCTCTCTTTCAATCAAGCCTTACGAGTTATGAAGGAACTGGAAACAAACAATGGAAATTCCCTAAGTCCACGGCTCCTGGAATATTGTCTGCAGAGACCCAAGAGTTCTCAAAAGAATACTGGGTGGTCCTTCCTGCCCAAGTCTTCAATGCTCATTGTTCTAATTAGTTCTACACTGGCTTGAGTAACAATGCTTTTATTACTAATAAAATCCAAACATCTCCTCCTGGGTGGCTCAATATGAGTAAATGCCCCTGGATGTCAATAAGCCTTCTGTTGTTATTTATTTTGTAGAGGTAACATGTAATCAGTGATTCACAGTATATATTTGGCCCACAAACAGAAAGAGAACGTTTAGATAAGCTCCTCTGGGTCAACGGCAGGGGCTCTGCAGGATGTCTTACATTTGCTACCAACCTGAACAAAAAAATATCCTATGATAACCTGAACTGAGAACTACAGCCCACAGAAAAGAAGTCCTCCAAAAACAGGCACCCTGAACGCACAACGTGGATGATGAAGATATACATGATGCACTCCCTGTATTCTTGGCGCTACAGGGGACCACTGGCAGATGGAGGCAGTAGGGACAAGCTGTGTCCTGAAAGAAACAATGGGTCTAGTGACTCAGGAACAAGTGCTTGGGAGAGATTTATTCCAAGACAGGAATGAAAGTCTGTGTAATGCATTGTTTCTATCAGGTGTTCCCCTGATTTCTAATTCTTAGGGATGGAGGAGTTTGCCAAGCATGGGAACAGCCTCCTAGGATGTCTGGCAGGAGGTGGTAATTCATGGAGGAGCTGAGCAGCTTGTACCTCCTGCAGGAAGGGCACTGACAGAAGTGGTCAGTGACTAAACTAAAGAGTAGGGGGCAGATTCCTGACATTCTCTCCTTTGCTTTTCTCTATTTTTTTCTTTTTTAAAGAGGAAATGTTTTACAGTGAGGATGTTCTAATTCTTTTCCCAATGATAACAAAATACACAGTACTCTTTCTTACATCTGTAATTCCATACTGGATAAGTAATCCCTAATAGAATAACTTATTTCAGAAAGGGCAAGAGCGGATGCAAATTTGAAGCACTGACTTAAGGAGATGCTTCCACTGGAAATACTGAAAATAGAAAATCAGTAGTGAAAGGCATGAGCTTAGAGAGCACAGGTATCTTTTCACTTAAGCTGGAGAAACAAAGGTGCCACTCGTAGCATCCCTGTATTCAGTATTACTGGGGCTTTTTTCCCAATGGCTTTTGATAAATAAACTCTGGTAAGAAGGAATTTAGTCCGTACTATCCCTCCCCCCCCCCCCCCCCCCACATTCTGGTTTTGTTTCAAAGCTGAGGACAACGTCTTTACTTAGTCTAACTTTTCGCTATAAGTGCTGCCATACAATATCTGTCCTTTTGTATTTGGTATATGTCACTCAAAGGAGTTCTGGTAGTGTAGTTTGTTAGGTGCTGAAATTAAAGGTCACTGCTTCTAATCCATGAGCCACTCTTCTAGGACCAAGATGTGCAGGTTCCTCATGTGAACATTTACAATGCTGGGAACCCAATGAAGAGCGTTCCTGACCGGGAATTGACTTGAAAGTGGATTTTTGGTTTGAATCCACTCAGCATGTTTTCAAGTTCACCAAGTGGTGGCCTGCTTCAGAAGGTCATTTCTCTTACAGCTGAATCCCTATATCTGGAGCACATTTTGTTTCTCAATCCGTCAGGGTGTCCACTGATGGACACTTGTGTTGTTTCGGCCTTTTAGCTTCTGGGAACAGTGCTGGAAACACTGGGACAATTGGAAAACAGATAATGAGAATGATGGCAGGAGGTGCTCAAGGCGACTGAACTGTACTCACAATGGGTGAGCGGTGCCTGCCATTCTTGGTGGGAAAGGCTTCCTGCCTGGTGACTACTGTGACAGTGACACAGACACCTGGTTGGGACACACTCACACTGGTGGAGTCATCACATTTCTGACAACTTCCATTTCCCTACACAGCCTTGACCTCACAGTCCCTCTCAAATGCTACCAGTGACGGAGCCTAGCGAGCGAGCCTTGTGCAGCCTGCTACCTGGGACATCTGCCTTCCTCCCGCTGCCTGTTCATCTGCGGGCACAAGTTAGCCTGGTTTGGGCCCCCCTCCAGTTCGCCTGGTTTGGGCCCCCCTCCAGTTCTCAGTGCCTGGCCTAATTACAGTGCTCTCCTGGTGCTCAGAAGCCTGTTCTTCTAAAGCCTCAGGTCTCAGAAGACAGCGTTGTTTCTGCTACGTCTGTTTTCAGGGAAAGAAAGAGGGAAAGAAATAGCCTAAATGGCTTCCTGTACACCAAGAGTTGAATTAGCAAGAATATGAACAGAGAGGAAGACCTCACTATTGAGGATTTTCATTTCCAAAGAGCCATTTCTGGGAAAGAGTCTTTTTTGAGTTTCCCAGACCAAAGGACATCCACGTTCCTTTTCTGCAAAGTTGCCTGATCCAATTAACTTGGTCTGGCCAGCTTTGGTCTCCCTCACCGCTCTTCTCACCCACTCCTGTTCTGCGCACCCCCTCACACAGCTGCACGCTCGACGTCCGCCTGCTCCTTAATAACCCTGCTTGCTGCCTCGGTCGTGCACATCCATAATCGTCTTCTTTCCCTCAAGGGGCCTCCCGTCAAAACCCAGGCCTCAGTGCTGCTAGGAGAACCCTGCTTTACAGACATCCCACCAGCGACAATGGGGAGTCTGTGGGCATTTGTAAACCAGATTCCCTCCCGGCCTCACTTCCTGCATCTCACCGATAAGCCCCGAGTAGGCGAGGAGGCAGTCAGCGTAGTTCTCCTTCAGACAGCTGCTGACAGACCTTGACTCTGGCTGGCAGTTGGTAAAAAAATCTGCAAGGCGAGACCTGCAAGATGAAGAAAAGAGGGAAATGTGTGTGAAAGGCCATAAAGCCCTGGACAGGAGCAGTTTTTCTTTACTACTTTGTTCCACTGCCTTTTTCTAGACACACACACAACCTATGCAGAGAAAATGCAGTCTATCCACACACATCAGCCTTCTCTCCTAATGAACCACAAGCATCCTCTGCGCCCCTCAGGCCCCCCGCCCACCTGTGCGTCTGCTTATTTGAGAGAAGTCTTCTGGGCCTGTAACTGGAGAAATCTCCAGGCTTTGAAGTTTCCATTCAATATTTATTTCTGACTAGACTGATTTGCATCTTTCGGAAATACGCTACTCCACAGACCCACCGGAGACTCACACTAAGAAAATATTTACTTTATACAGAAACGTGTCCCTGGCATCAAAATAGAATCCCACAGCCCATCTGCTCCCACAATTCCTTGTGTCTTTAGAAATACAAGAATCTATCTTGGTTGTCTCCTCTCATCCACCAGTCCCAGAGGGTGGGTGGGGGCCTGAGGACAGGGAGGAAACTTGGCTTTCTAGAACAGAAGGGAGAGGAAGGAGGGACAGGAAATACAGCTGAGAGGGGTGACACCTGCCTTTGACAAGGTACAAGAGGCCTATGATTGGAGGTGACAGTTAGAGGGTCTTTGATCAAAGGAGGAATGCCTGCAATCTGAGAAACTCCAGAGGCCGAGGAAGTCCAATGGGAGAGTCTGGATTCTGAGTCTATTTCCTTCTGTTGGCCTCAACTCTGACTACGGGCAACTTCAAGTATGTCAGAGTTAAGCTGGGCTCCATGGGGTTTCTTGGCTGGTCTTCTGGAAGGAGGTTACCAGGTGTTTCAGTTGAGATGCCTCTGAGTGGACTTGAACCACCAATCTTTCTATCAGCAGTCAGCCACCTTGACTGTGCGCACCATCTAGAAATGGAAGGATGCTGCAGTACAAGAGGGTGGGAGGGAGCTGACTCTTGGCTGGCTTAAGCTCTGAAATTGTTGGAGAAATCCTGAATGAGGCTGGGTCCCCTCTGAGGTCACCTCAGCAGACACCACTCTGCTTCTATCTGAAGAGCACAATGGATGCCAAGAGAACGGAAATTATCTGGCAATTTGGGGACACGATGGAAGGCTGTCCCAGAGCTCCTCCATCTTTAACTCAGGGAGCTGGTTGCCGACACGCCCAAGGCTGCTTCTACGCCCAAGGCTGTTTCTACATATTCCCCCCAGGACTGTGCAGATGTGGTGCATTCGATGCTACGATAAGGGCGGGTGGGTAGAGTGTGAGTCTTGTGAGAAGTTCATTGCTGTTGTTAAGCGCCATTGAGTCAAGTCTGACCCACAGCAACTGTATGAACAAGAGATCTGAGCTCTGTCCTATCCAGCTGCAACCTTATCATCTTGTATGTATTTTGAGTCCACTGCTGCTGGCATTCAATCCATTTCATTGAGGATGTTCCTCTCCTTTGCCGACCCTCCACCTCTCCTGGCATGATGAATGTCCTCTCTTAACAACATGTCCAAAAGAGATGAGACGAAGCTGCATTCCTTTAGAACATTTTTAATAAGAAGGGGGCAATAAAGGGCCTTATGAAATGAAGCCAGCCACAGGGCACTGCCAAGGTGGCATGGTGTTCGCGTGGTGGCTGATCTCCTTACCCTGTGTAAATAAGGCCTCTCATATCTGTTCCCATCTGAGAATCCCCTGTTCCAGGGCCAGGTGCAGTGCAGCATGTCCCTGCGACTGATGGTGAAGGGCTGTTGGAGTCCGGGTCCTCCTGGCAGCACCTGCCACTCCTCAGAGGGGCCCTTGGTAAAGCCTCCCCACCAGGGCCGTGTGCCCAAGCTAAGTGCTTTGGCCCCGTCCTCCAAGGGAGCTCCTTGCATGCGCGGGTGTTCCTGGATCACACCCCGCCCCCAGGTCTGGAGCTTTCTGCTTCGAATTGCCTGCACGGAAGGCATAAACCTGGCCGCTTTCTGCAGCCTGGTTACGGGATTTCTTTTTCAGCAGCAATCCCTAGAGACGGTTTAGGCTTACTCGACTGGCTCTGACCACATCCAGCTTGGGCTGTGCACTCATTTCAGAAGAATTTTTATGGTCATGAAAGTTAATGGTCCAGTGGTACTGGGCTGCTAACTTTGCGAAGGCCAAGTGTGGTTCAGGCAGCTGGGCCCAGATCTATGCGCAAGCTGTCCACTGAGCGACTCTGCGACCTGGTCGCCCCAACTCCCAGTCCAATCCCTGGAGGTGGCAGTCAAACCCTCCATCTCCGTGTTTCCTGCTCTCCGTGGTCTTTCCAGCTGACTGTTAACTGAACAACACCGTAACGTGGATTACTGTCCTTCGGCGCGGGGCTAATGCTACCAGACTCATTTTGCTTAACAACCTCAGAATTGACTCACAATTGGACTCTGGAATGAAAGGCTAATTGAGTCAGTCTGCTGCAGAGAGCGCAGCTCTGATTGGGAGGATAAAAGGAAATATACTGCTCAGAGCAGAAGCCTGGCCAGGCGGCCTCTGGAGAGAAGACTGGCAGCATAGATCCTTGGCCTGAAGACAAACGTGGCCAGTGAAGGGGAGGGGAGTCACTGAGTAGCAATGCACATGCATAGCGCTGCTAATGTACCAGTGCCCCCATGACTCGCCCATATAACACCCTCTCCTCAATATGCCACTGGAGATAGAGTGGAGCATGTAAAAGCATTCCCATTTTAAAGATGTAAAAACTAGGGTAAGAAAAGGCTTCTACAGTGGGGTGCAAGAGCCAGGTCACTGGTAAATTTTCAGAAATTTTGGTTACATTGGGAAAGGCTGCTGGCAGTGACCTCTCCAAAGTACTGAGGGGCAATGATGTTAGTCTGGGGACTAAGGTGCACCTGATACAGGCCATGGTCTTTGCAATTACTTGCTATGCATCAGAGAGCTGGACAATGGCTAGGAATGATAGAAGGAGAATTGATGCCTTTGAGCTGTGGTGCTGGAGAAGAGTATTGAATGTATCATGGACTGCGAGGGGTACAAAGATGTTCGTGCTGGAGAGGGTGAAGTCAGGCTGCTCCTTGGAGGCAAGGATTCTGAAACTTTGTCTGACATAACTTTGGACATGTTGCAAGGTGGGATCAGTCCTTGGAGAGGGACGTCATGCTTAGGAGGGTGGAAGGGACAGCGCAGGAGAGTAAGACCCTCGATGAGATGGATTGATTCCATCACTGGGGTAATGGGTATAGCTGTGTTGGAGACAGGGAGATTGGCAAGGGATAGAGCAGGGTTTAGGGCTGTTGTAAATAGGGTCACTGTGAATTGCAAGTGACTCAATGGCACATAACGACAACAACTATAACAACAACAATGATAATAACAATTAATAATCCTAGCAGTAGCCTGAAATCAACTATATGTAGGAGTCCAGGGATAGCACAAAAGATTAGATGTTCAGCTGCTGGTAGAAAGATCTGGAATAAATGCCTGACAATTTATTCCAAAAGGTCACGTCCAATATAAAGCCCATGGCACAGAGTTAAACTTTCATACAGATGAGTCTGCCATAAGCCAGTTCAATGGCAACTGGTTTGATTTTGTATTTAAGCCACTGGAATCAGCAAACACTCCAAATCAGAGCTTGGTGTTCTTGGAGTGGTTATTGCACACGTGCCAGAAGATTTCTGTTCAAGAACAGGAGGGGACAGTCCGTCCCACGGAGGAAGAATGTGTCATGGTCCAGGGTCCAGTCCTGACCGTGTCGGACTAGCTTCCTCTCCCATCTGCAATCAATCCCCCTTGTGTTAAAACGAAATGGTATGGTCCCAGTTAACTTCTTAGCTCTAGTCCCTCCCAAACAACACAATGAATCTCTCTCTACCCAAAGATATTTCTAAACTCACATCTTTTCTTGCCAAATCAAAACTCATGGCCCGTGTTAAACTGACTCACAGCAGAGGCTCCAATGGTTTCTGAGGCTGTAAATCACATAGAAGGAGATGGGTCATGTTTTACCCTTAGAGTTACTGGTGGATTTGAACCATCAGAGAGACAAGGCCTTTGTGTTAACAGCACAACTACCTAGGGACTATACCCCCTTCTCTGGCCTCTAAAATCCTGGAGCAAAGGATCTCTTTAAAGTGTTAAAGAGCCAAGATGTCACTTTGTGGGCTGGATGAAGCTGACTCAAGGCAAGGTATCTTCAGTTGCTCATCTGCATGTGAATGCTGGACACAGAATAAGGAAGACCTAAGAGCTGATACCTCTGAATGCTGGTCTTTTTATTATTATTATTATTATTATTTTTACTTTATTCTTTTTTATGTGAGTGCACCGTCAAATCAGATCTGACTGGTACAGAGGAGATTGCCCCTCCTTCCCCGGCAGAGCATCTGGTGGATTTGAACCGTGCGCCTCTGGGATTGTAGTTGCAGCTCCTTTCTACTAGGCCACCAGAGCTCCCCCCTTGAATGCTGGTCTTGGGGAGGAGAACAAATATATCACGAATTATCAGGACAAATCCATCTTGAAAGTACAGGGAGAGGACTCTTCAGATGTGACAGTGATTATACTTGATCTTTTACGTACTCTGGACATGTTATCAGGTGAAGCCAGTCCCCAGAAAGGGCCATCACACTTGAGAGAGTATGTTGTTGTTGACACGTTCCATCAAGTCAACTACGACTCACAGTTACCCTATGAAAGACTCTGAACCTTGTTTTGTCATGCCAGCCTCACCATATCTGACACACCTGATCTTATAAACACAGTCACTGGATCAACCCATCTTATCCAGAGCCTTCTTCTCTTGACCTTCTATCCGTCCAGGCCAGATGTCTTTCCCCAAGGACTGGCCCCTTCTAGCAACACGTCCAAAGTAGGTGATGCTGGAGAAAGGGCTGATCAGGAGAAGCTCTGAAACAGAGCTGGGAGTCTAGACTTGATTCTAAATAACAATGAAGGATTTTTTTTTTTACTTTTCAAAGAGAAAAGCGAACTGGGGGTGGGCGGGGAGAAAAGTGCA